TCGGGTCTACAACAATCCTGCCCTCGATAGTCAGCCCTGTAGAGTGTGTTATTGCAGAATTGCCCGTCTGGAATGGCTAAGTTATCCGGCTGTTTGATAGCTTCGGGTCTGCAACAGTCCTGACCACGGTAGTCAGCTCTATACAATGTGTTGTTACAGAACTGCCCATCCGGAATAGCCAAGTTGTCCGGTTGTTTGATTGCCTCGGGTCTACAGCAATCCTGACCCCGATAATCCGCTCTGTACAAGGTATTATTACAGAACTGTCCATCCGGAATGGCCAGGTTATCAGGCTGTTTTATGGCATCAGGCCTACAACAGTCCTGACCACGATAATCGGCTCTGTAAAGGGTGTTATTACAGAATTGGCCATCGGGAACAGCTAAATTGTCGGGTTGTTTAATGGGATCGGGCCTGCAGCAATCTTGGCCACGATAATCAGCCCTGTAGAGTGTGTTATTGCAGAACTGTCCGTCTGGTATGGCCAGATTGTCAGGCTGGTGAATGGGTGCTGGTCGGCAATCGCTCTCATACACGTACTCGTATTCGTTGTCATCGCCTACACACTCCATCTGAACGTGCCTCGTCTGCGTTAATTTGCGTAGTTATTTGCCTTATGCCTGATCGAGAGAAAACGCTATCCGTGCGTTCGCCTCTCCGTTGCTAGAGTTGCACTTCTTCTCGTCTTATCTCACTGTCGCGTGTCTGCAGGTGTTGAGGGGAAAATCGATAACCACTCGTTCAAATATCCACTAATCAGCTGAGCCTCACATCATTGACCAGTTAGGTTTATCGTTTTGCTTCACCTATAAAGCTTATAAAAGCTGAACGACTTGCTACATCTCCGACCTAACCTTAGAGCTCTGTTCCGCCATCATTCCCCATTTTCCCATGAGACCTCAACACTTATGCAAACTAATTATAGCTCTTAACGACCTGTGCACCGTTTCTTCCCATGAAACCAAAACAAATCCTAAAAGCATGAAGACTGCCGAGCTAGCTACCATATCATCAATGAACATCTGATTGAATCAAAGTTGCTGGTGCAGAGGATGTACTTCAAAGTTGGTATTACACAAATGTATTTACACGAGTCATAAGCAACATCTAAAGCACGTTTAAAAATTGTCTATTTTCCTCGATTGCCACCGAATTTGCCACCACCACGACCACCACCACCACCTCCGCGACCACCTAAAATTTTACCATTTCCATAATTCCCATGTGTCCATGCAGACGAACGGGTAACAGTAATTCTAATAAGAACTCTTGTACTACCAAAACCGTGTATGACAATGAGGAGTATGTCGAAAGTAGAAGTTCTAGTAGGCAGAAAAGACAAAACAGGAGACAAGTGCATCAGAACCATAATTTGTCAGCCAATCATCACATTCAAACCTTGACAAAGAAGCGTCTTATTTCGTGAAAAGTGATAATCACGGCATCAAAAAAATGATATATTGGACTAGTTACTGTGTGAACAGTCTGTCCTCCGGTAAATATTTAAAAAATTGAAATAAGTCGCAATAATCCACTTCATCTGGAGTAAATAGGAACTCACCCCGAAACTTATTCCGATTTGCACCTCCACCGCCACGACCACCAAGCTCCCTATTCCGTACCCTCGATGATTGCATATCCTCCTTCACCTTATCAATAACATCTTCGGGAATGCGCAAGTACTTTATTATGCTTCCACGAATAAAGCACTCAGACATTTTCCAAAATCTATCACCATCCTACGCACAAACTACCGATAAAAATCCCAACCTTAAACGACTTACACGTGACGTACAAATAACTTCTTTGAGATGGATGTTCATCCAATCATCACAGGCAACCAGATGACCATTGTATGTTTCGCCACTTTTAAGCTCAACCAACTATAAAAATTAACGCTGTCAAAGAAACAAACCATTGGCATGTTACATGATGCCTTCAGCAACGTAATTGGCAGCTACAAAAGTCGAAAAAATAAATTTGTACTACCATGCGGAAAGATTGCCACGATAGACACTGCACTGTTCTGTATACTATTGGCTAAAATTAACGACAAAAGAGTATTAATATACATGGTCATGTCAACAGATCTACCACAGTTACGTCAAGTAAATCCTATATTTTGTTACAACTAATTCCTAAATCTCATACCAAAGGCATCAATAATAAAAAACTCATTCATAAATAGTGCTGAAAAAAGAAGTTCTGAAAGATAGAACATAGTGTATACTGGATATTTTGTTCGATTCAACTTAACATTCGCTTGCAAACTTCAACACAAGATTCCAATTCCCCAGATATCCTAGACAGTAAAAGAAGTCAGAAATTACAGCTGGGTACATGCATTCTGAAGACAGCAGAGGAAATGAGCCTGAGCATGGGCCAAAGGCCAGCCCACGTGCACAAGGGCCAGACATATCCAAACAGTGACCGCTACTTTGTCTTTTCGATACCATTGTAATGCTTTGTTTATGTGACTACCGAAAGCTTCGCAGTCACTTTGAAATTTGTCTGGCCCTTGTACACGTGGACTGGCCTTCAAGATACCCTCAGGCCAATTTGCTCCGTCGTCTTCGGAATACACGTATTCAAACCTCACTTATGCCTTCTACCACTTTATGGGAAGCCCCCGGACGCTACAATGTTTGCAGCGGAAAGCGAACCCGACATTTTATTTGACACCTTTTAGGTGTAAAGTGTTTTTGAAGACCTTTTGCTCCAGTCGTGCTTGAGTCTCTGTCTGCGGCTTCTTCTTCGTTCATCGTTCGCTAAAAAAATCAGTGCCCGAGACTATCTACTGCACAACAGACATCACCGCCTTACCGACATCCTACGTTTGTGGTGCTAAGGTTTGCCAATTAATCAACTGATTTACGAAAAAGAACAGTAAGAACAAAGTGACGGGCATAGGTTCAATACGTGCAGCTACCCCAAAATCCACGACATGAAGGTTATAATCCAACCAGCATCTTAATGGAGGAATCCAAGATTGATAAGCGCATTTTAGCATTGTGCACCGGCAATCATGAGTTGTACCCGCGTAAAAGGAAGCCTGAATCTATTGAAGTGCAATAGATGAAGATACAGGCGAAAAGAAGACATGAATAGAGAGAGGCCCATGTAGCGTCCCGAGGCTTCCCATAAGGAAGAAGAAGGCATAAGTGTGGTTGAACAGATGTATTCCGAAGACGGCAGAGTAAATGGGGCCTGCCCGTGGCCCGAAGGCCAGCCACAAGCAGACAGACAAAAGCATTACAGCATATTTACCTTGATCCTGTGTTCCACACACTAGCTATTTACAAATGGGGCGACACCGCCGTGAACTACCTAAAAAAGTTTTGCCGGAAGTCAGGTGGTTACATATACAAGGCATTACAACATATGCTATATAAAATTTTAACAAAATTCAAAAGATGTAAAGAAACAGTAGTACCTTGTTTATTTGACTATGAAGTGTATTGCGGATGCTATTAAAATCATCTAACACTAGTACGCTGGGGCTGACGATCAGGGCAAGTTCTAGCCAAATTATTATATTTTACTTGGAACATGAGTATTCAGCCACAATAGATACGTTCTTAGACTGGATAGAAAGACTCAGAGAACTATAGCAAGCGCAAATGTCAGCTAAACAATAGAAAGGCATTAATAAAATTTTTAAGTCTATCGAATATTTTTCTATAACAAAGATAACCAGCATTTGCGCTGCGTCTCAAAAACAGAAAATATAAAGAGTGCGTCACTAAAATTATTCAATGCTAAAAACATTAATAAACGCAACTAAAAAATATATTTTATAAAATTGCAAAAATGCATCTTAAGGTTTTAATACTTATGAAAATTTTCATGATTCGGTCATTACCGTTCGTCGCACCGCACAGACCGACTTTCGACTTATTTGTAGCTTTAGGATGCGTGAGATTGTTCACATTCAGGCTGGACAGTGCGGCAACCAAATTGGTGCTAAGGTATGCTACGCACCCTTAAAGAATCAAGATTTTGTAGTTTTGGGAAGTTATATCTGACGAGCATGGTGTAGACCCAACTGGAACTTATCACGGCGACTCCGATCTCCAGTTAGAACGCATCGATGTCTATTACTATGAGGCCTCTAATGGAAAATATGTTCCCAGGGCTATTCTAGTGGATCTCGAACCCGGAACCATGGACAGCGTTCGTGCTGGTCCCTTTGGCCAGATTTTCCGCCCCGACAACTTTGTTTTCGGACAAAGCGGCGCTGGCAATAACTGGGCGAAGGGCCACTACACGGAGGGCGCTGAACTGGTGGA